AGAGAGAGAGAGAGAGAGAGAGAGAGAGAGAGAGAGAGAGAGAGAGGGAGAGAGAGAGAGAGAATAATCTTTTTTTTGAATTATGAAATTATGAGAGGGGTAAATCATCTAAAAGGGAGGTAGATAGAAATAGGAGCGATGAATAGTAACTCATGCCATGCTTGTTAATATACTAGTACAGAGCCCGTGCGATGCACGGGGTGCACAATTTTAAGGTCATTTATCCATTCTTATAATTATATAAATGAATAAAAAAAAAAAAGGACGGGATATATATAGTACGTGACCTGTAATAGGCCAAAATGTGAACACGGGTGATGCACGGGGTGCACAATTTTATGGTCATTTATTAGTATAGAACCCCTGCGATGCACAGGGTGCACAATTTTCTAGTATGTGTAATAAAAATACATACCGTATGCACATGACAGAAGCACTAAATGAGTCATTTCCACAGAGCTTGCCCGTTAAGTAGCTCTTGAACACGGGTGCACAATTTGTAGTACATACCATAAAATCAGAACAGATTTTCATACAATTATATAATAAATTAGATAATAAATAAAGCCTTTTCATTTTAGTAAAGATTTTACGTACTTTTTTTTTTTACTTATCGGATGTTATGAGATTTTTTTTGTTAAACCGATTTTATGGAATATAAAAAAAATAAATTTTGAGGATTGAATAAATTTAGAGGATTGAACAAAATCAGAACAAATTTTCATACAATTAGATAATAAAAAAAATTAGATAAGGAAAAGAAGGAATTGGATAAGAAAAAGAAGGAATTAGATAAGGAATTTTGAATTTGACATTTTTTTGGATAGATAGACTTTACGTACAAATTTTTTCACTGATTTTATGAGATTTATTTTGACAAAATCAATGTTAATATGGAATAAGAAAAATTAATAAAGTCTTTTTATTTTAGTAAAGATTTTACGTATATTTTTTTTTTGACTTGTCAGATGTTATGAGATTTTTTTTTCTTAAACGGATTTTCTAGGATATAAGACTATCAAATAAAATAATTAAATAAAATTCTGGACAGAAATAGCAATGAATTAATTACGTTGACTTTTCAATCTACTAAATTTGGTAAATAGGATACCTTATATAATAAGTATATATACAAATAAATAACATGCCAAAATTTTAAGGAATAATTAATGTATTTTAATTTATTGTCTAGCCAACAGTAATATCATTTAATGATGTGATCATTATCTCTTAAATGATAAATATAATATTAATTTTAAAAAATATTTGTTTTTTATATACTCAAATAAAAATTAAAAAATACTATCGACAAATATGAATTATAATATATATAAGTAAAATCATTGCAGAAATTAATAAAATTATTTAAGGAAATAACCTTTTTGATCATATTTGAATATAAAATGTATATATGCAAGCAATTAATGCATATGGTAAAAAATTTCTAAACAAAGTATGCATTAAATGTGAGTTGACTTTTCTTGCTACTATTTTTGGTAAATAGTATGGCTTTTAATATAAGTATAGATAGATTATTTCATTCACGTTTAATTTATATTCAAATCTAACTCAACCATAATATCTTTAATATTATTCATGTAATTAATACAAATCAATTATCTTTACACATCAAATCAACTTTAATTCATTATTTATCTACTCACATAATTTTAATTATCTATCATTTTATAATTATTTTCAATCATTTATCTTTTATCACTAATCAAATTATTATTAATCATATTATTTTAATTTATAAAACAAGCGAGCCCTCACCCCGATAATCATCCGGACCTCGGACCCCTCTCTTCAATCCAGTTAATACAACTTGTTTGGGAACGTTATCGGCATGGTTGACCAATCAGCTGCCCTGCCCCTCGCTCACATACACCTTGCGCGTGATCCTACACTACGCCCTTAACCCGTTCCGCGCACGCTCTAACCTAGCGCGTGTGCTGTCAAACCACTCTGCTGTCGAAGAGATAAATTTAAAGTAAAGCATGGAAGGGATCACCACTAAATCCTCAAGCACCCCGTCCACAGGTCGCCACGTGTCCGTTAGCATTCTCGAGAACTTTCCCTTTGAAACGAGGCAATTGGGAAACTGTCTCTAACGGTTAAATCCACGACTCCCGTTGGCGCCACGTGTCGCCTCTCGTGCTCCTTGATGGAGTTGGTTTTTTTGTTTCATTTATTATATTATTATCCTCTAGGCGTCGTGGCGGTCAAGTTATTGAAGCATATATAATTCTTTTCCAGAGAGAGAGAGAGAAAAATATCATTATAAGGTAAAATTTCGGAGAGCAAATCGTGTGCTTGGGCTGTTTGTAAATCAGGTTTAGTGGTGTTGTACTCAGATTTATCATTTTTTTTTCTGGTTTTTGGGGTTTTGTAGGTGAGAGAAAACATGGCGGATGCTCAACGTTTACTTGGGAACGACGTCGTTTCGGTGGAGCTCCCAGCTCCTGCTTCCTGGAAAAAATTGGTACTAGTTGGGTTTTTGTTTTGTTCTGGTTTGAGCTTTACTTTTTCTCTTGGCCGTGCTGCTGTTTTTGGTCTTCTCAAGGTTTTCGTAATTGTTGTTTTCACATTTTTGTAGCTTTAGTTGTTTTATTTTGGGGGAAAAAGCTAATTAAATTGCTGCTGCTTGCTAGGGTTTTGAGTTATGTGGTTATTGTGCTTAAATCTTTGTGTGTATTTATCAGAACTTTCTCGTGTTCTGCGCTCTGGTTGCTGCTGATTGTTCTCTATTGACCGTGCTTCTATGGAAGGAATAATAAGAAATACTAATGTTCACTACTTTTTATAGTAATGGAGGCTGATTGAATTGGGATTCTTATTTATTTCCCATTTAAGTTAGGTGTTTCAGATTGCAGTTTTATTATTATTATTATTATTATAAAAATCATTTATTGTTATTGCTTCTCGATTTATGACCATAAACGTTACATATTCTGAAACTAAGTATTATCTATTTTGGGTTAGGATGTGTTGAAATGTCCATTTGTCATTTGTCCCATATCACCAATTGATGTCGAGATAGAACCTCGTTTAGGCAGAAGTTGAAGTTGTTTCAATCATATGGGCCCACACCTCTTTCTTCGAATGAGTAAATCTCGTAGTAGAATGTATTTGGCTGAATTATTGACATTTTCAAATGTTTGGTAAATTGGTCGAGAGCTTATAAAAATCATAAATAATAATTGTTTGATAAATTTTCACGGAACATCTTGTAAAAGTTTTTATCCATTTGATGATATGGTGTAAATTATTAGATGCATTCATCGATGTAAAAGTCTTTCCACCTGCAGGAAGATGTATGCTGAAACCCTGTCAAGTTTCATGTTATCTGCTATGCTAATTCTTTTGACTGCACTAACAATCTTTAAATGAACCATTATGTAAAGGAAAAAGGCATGCACCTTTTGTGGCATTAATATGAACAAATTGAACCTATTCATAGAATTGGTTGCAGCTACGAGAACATACTAGAAGAGATGTAATTACTCTTATAACCCATTGTATTTGCCGCAAACATCTGTTCTCTGAAATTCAGAGGCAAAAACTACAGTTACTATAAGCTGACGGGATCTCTCTTAAGAATGAATTTATATGAGGGTCTTAGTACTAATTTTTTTTTTGTCAAGCTCTGCTGAAACTTGTTGGGCAAAAACCATGGATATTGTTGTCCTATTTTGGTAGATTTTTTATTAGGTTGTTGCTTGCATCTTGTTTATTACGTAAAAATCTTTATTAATCACAATTTTAGGTTGTGCATCAGGTGAGAATTAACAGGTTCTGCTACCTATACTTTTGGCTGACCAATTTTCTGATATTCCTTGCAGTATTTGCCGAAAAAAGGAGGTACGCCAAAGAAAAATGAGATATTATTCATTGCACCAACTGGGGAGCAGATTAGCAACCGGAGGCAGCTCGAGCAGTACCTGAAATCCCATGCTGGAAACCCTCCGCTTTCCGAGTTCGACTGGGGCACGGGCGAAACTCCAAGGAGATCAGCTAGGATTAGCGAGAAAGTCAAGTCAACACCCCCATCCAAAGAAAGTGAGCCGCCCAAAAAACGAGCTAGAAAATCATCGGCCACCAAGAAAGACAAAGAGAAAACCGAGGGCACAGAAGAAGTCGAAATGCATGATGCTGATGAGAAGAAGGATGAACAGAAAACCGAGGTTGGGGTTGAAAGCAATTCTAATGAAAATGGTGGGAAAGGGAGTGATGAGACAAAAGATGAGAAAAAGGATGAAGAACAGAAAACCAAGGTCGGAAGGGATGAGACAAATGATGAGAAAACTGAAAAAGGCGATGGCACTGAAAATGTTCCAAATGTGGAAGGAAAAGTTGAAGATAAACAGTTACCTGAGAAGGATGAGAATAATGAGCAGCCTGGAAAAACTGATAGTAATGGAAATCCTTCAGACATGAAGGAAAAAATTGTAGAGGAACATGTGGCTGGAACTGTAGAGAAAATGCAGTCTGAGGCCGGCAAAACCGGCACTGATGAAACAAAACTTGCGGGTACAAATGATGAGAAGAAGGATGAAGAACAGAAAATCAAGGTCGGGAGTGAGGAGACAAATGATGAGAAAACTGAAAAAGGCGATGGTGCTGAAAATGCTCCTAATGTGGAGGGAAAAATTAAAGACAAACAGCTACCTGAGAAGGACGAGAATAATGAGCAGCCCGGAAGAATTGATGGTAATGGAAATCCTTCAGACGTGAAGGAAAACATTGTACAGGAACAGGTGTCTGGAACTGTGGAGAAAATACAGCCTGAGGCCGGTAAAATTTGTACTGATGAAACAAAACCTGCGGGCACTAATGTTGATGGAGGTGAAAAGGGCGCTATTTCAGAGTCGTCCGCTGGAAGGGAAAGTGGGGCCCAGGTGAACGTTACCAAATCTGATTTGGGGAAAGAAAGTGATGTGAAAGAGGATGGGATGGAGATTGGTAAAGTGAATCAGGCGCCGCCACATCACCCTTCTCCAGCAGCAATTAGTTGTTGAGTTCTATGTATTTTATGCTCTTTTGTTAATTGTAGTGATTTCGAGACACCTTTTGTTTCTACTCTTAACTTGGATGACTGTAGTAATATCTGTTGGTTATTTAGTAATGTTGCTACATTTCTTTCTACGTAGCTGCTTGACATGGATTGTATTTTGATACTCGTAGGTACAATGTAACCTCGGACGTATGTGGATGTGTTGCTATGTTATGGTATGTCTTGCTTGATGTCGTGCAATAATTTTTTTTCCAGACAAGTTTCGAGTGGCTATGACTTTTGTTAATTTGCTTACGCTGCATCCAGTATAATACGGGAGCTTTAACGTTCTTTGTTAATACTGCCATTTAATGTTCTTTGTTGTAGCTTTAATGTTCTTTGTTATTACTGCTATTTGATTTTGTTCTTTGTTGTTCTTACGCCGTCTCCAGTATAATAGGGGAGCTTTTTAATGTTGTTCAATGTTAATACTGCCATTTAGCAATAGTTTTACGCCGTCTCCAGTATAATAGGGGAGCTTTTTAATGTTGTTCAATGTTAATACTGCCATTTAGCAATAGTTTTAAACCCGGCCCGAAAATCGACCCAGACAGGTCTCCGTGTCACCGGTTCAACCGCCGGGTCATCGGGTCAATTGCTGAACCGGATGATTAATTTTAAAATTTTTAAAATTATATATATAGTATCTTTGATATATGAATATACATAAAAGTAACAAAAATAAATATTTTGTATACAAAATTTGTACATTTAAGTGTTAATAATACTGAATCTTACAATAAATATTTATTATGTCATTATATAAACATAGTTTTATTTTTTACTAAAAAATATTAAAAAAATAAAAAATTTATAAAGACCGGGTCAATGACCCGGGTCGACCGAGTCAATATTGGGTTGGTCGGGTTTTGACCGGGTTTGACCGAGTCCATTGTTAGCGGGTCCAAATAATCCACACGAACTGATTTTGGCTCCAGATCGACTGGGTCCCGAGTCGACCCGCCGGGCCGGTCCGGGTCACAAAACAATGCATTTAGCTTGAAAATCATTACAGGAATTGTGTCATTAATTCTTCCAGATTGACGCAGCTTTAATGTTGTCTTTTGTTTATTACTGTCATTCAGCTCCAACATCATTATAGGAATAGTGTCATTAATTCTTCCACATACTGATGCAGTACGTTAACAATCAACTATGTAATCAATATTGGAGCAGATAAGCAACGGTTCCAAACTTATGGCCAACATTTATACTTGTCAATTCAATATTTATTCCATCCAAGACAGACGCCGAAAGGTCCGATAAAAAGATTGTTAATGAAGTAAGGATCAAAAAATAAATTCATGTACAAAAAGCATACTTCATGTGGCGAATAGAAATTTTTTCTGGGGAGACGAGAAGGGACGCAACCAGATTCATGCCAATCAACTTCTAAAGATGCAGTTGACCTTCTTTGGAAAAAGGGTCTAGACAAGGCGGTCCCTTCATTGTGTCGATGTAATTGAGATCGGGCATCAACAGAAGTCCTGGAAAGGTCATCAAAAAACTCTCTTTACTACAACAGTCAAATAAATCGTTGGTATGTTATCCTTACGGGCCTCTTGAATCCTCTCTTTACCTATTTTTTTTTTTTTAATTTGTTTTTGTCTTTAATGTGGCTTTTATCCTTTCGTTAATATTGAATTGATAAAAATTCTCTTCTTCAAACCCTGTGAATCGATTAAAACCTCAGATTTATATTAGAACCACGATGATTCAATAAAAAATCATAAGCTAAGTCAAAGATTCTCTGAATAAGAACCACTGGATCATCACGTATTCTATGAATTAGATAAAATGACTAAAAAAATATTTTTTTCAAATTGCATTGATTTTTTTTTTTGGAGTCCGAACACGAGGTCAAATATTAAGTATGTCATAGTTCAAACATTGCAACTGGGGCCATCTAACTCGGAGCAAAATCGCTAACACTACTAAGATTAATTATTCTTCGAGTTCTTTTTTCGTTCTCTTCTGAGATTTTTTCTATTTGAATTTGATTTGAATTCAGAATGAGTTTGCCTGTCAAAACGAGATTTAATAAACTATTTAACTACGTCAAACAAAGATGTTGCTTTCTTTTTTCGGTAAAGCACCTCTTGCCGCGGTAGTAGGGAAAACACAGAATCCCCCAAGAAGGTTTAGAATGGCAATTCATGCCCCTTGGGAGGTTGCAAATAAATGACTACTTGAATCAGGGTTTTGGGCATAAAGATTCATTGGCCTATAAAAAGTGGGCCTAACCCTTGGGGATGTGGTAATACATCTAAGAAATTATTCCATCCAACGTGCTCCCCTTTGGATCCAGGAATAGCAACATGTACTAAATGTCCTGTCCAAGCCAAGGAACTTACTTCCGACCATGAATCGTCAGATCCGTTTCGCACATTCTTGTGTAGGATCGATGTAATTGACCTGCTACATTTGGAAGGTCCCAGTCTTTTCTGTTTGCGTAGAGGATAGATGTAATTTAGAAGCAAAGTGAAGTAAAGGTTGCATTGAGTCGGGAGTAAGTGCATTCGTTCCAACTGGTTAACACAACACGCTTCTTATTTAAGGAATTGGTATATTTATCAAGTGGACTCATTTCAATTGGCAGACATCTTTACCTTCCCTCTCAGAGCTTCTATGACTGAACTTCGCTTTGTTTCGTTTGTTGAGTTTAATTTTGCTCTCCTCGGGAAAACGCGAGTTTGATTTTTTTCTTGGAAGTTGTGCATCCGGAATCCGCATGCTCCAACTTTT